CGACCTGCTGCCCAGCCCCGCGCAGCGCCTCACCGCCCTCTACCTTCTCTGGGAGATGTACCGCACCGAGCCCCTCGCCGCCAACCCCTTCGCCGCCGTCTTCGCCCACCTCCTCAACCCTGCGCCCGAGCGCGGCGGCGACGAGGCGGAGCGCACGCCGCTCTCTGGTGCGTCCCGGTGCCGGGGTGGGGGGGTGAGACACGGACAGAGAGAAGCCCCGTCCCGGCGGGGGAGGAGCTGACAGAGGCACCGCTCAGCGGCACGGCTTCGTTACCGCTGCCAGGCCTCGGCTTCCCGACGCTCGCTTTTGCGCTTTCCGGATCTGGAAAAAGCGGTGGGAGTTTTTCATGGCAAGCGTGGCTAGGCTTGATGGCAGATGGGCCGCTTGGTTGGAACGTAACACGGGATTTTTGGGAGAAAGCCGTTAAAAAAACTGGAAGAAACCGGAGGCTTTTGGCAGCTTTAAAGCTGTGAAACAAGCCCGTTAAAGAAATACATGAGAGTGAAACACTTCTTCCCACTTCAGTAAAGGCAAGCGTGACAGCAATGGGTAAATCGGTTTCTAAAAAGAAGATACTTTTATAACTTACAGTACGAATTGCAATGTCTGGTCATGTTTAGTAGCTCACTAGTAGTCTGAATTGGAAAGTGTGTAAAGAAACCACTGTGACTGACTTGGCATCAGAGGATGCATGTCGAGATGCATGGCACCAATCGGTATAGTGCTGTATTTTACATCACGTCAGGAGCCAAGTCGGTGGTAGTTTTGTATGTGCTCACAAAGACTCTTCAGTTGCACTGACCGTGCCATAAATAACACATTAGCTGGTGTTTTATTTTTGCTGTTCTATGTGAAGCATGTGGAAGCTATTACTGCTACAGCCTTAAAAATCGGGGATTGTTTATCGTTGTGTCTCCACAGGCTTCTTGCCTCCCATAACTCCTCCAGAAAAATTCTTTCTTTCTCAGCTGATGTTGGCCCCCCCTAGGGAACTATTCAAGAAGACTCCTCGGCAGATTGCTTCAATGGACGTGGGGAACATGGCCCAGTCAGTGGATATAAGTGGGCTTCAGCTGGCATTAGCAGGTAAGGAAGATTTGTGGCTGTGGTTCAATTATGAATGGAAATGCTAATTGTAATTTGACTATGAGTTACTTGAGAAACACTCTTGTCTATCCTAAATATGAAAATGATTGCACTGTGCTTTAAGATCTTCAAGCCCATGGTAAAGCAAATAGAGGAACTTGAAGCAAGATTAAGTCTTAACTGTTTTATCCTATTTAACAAGCAGCTTTTTAAGCATATACGCCATTGCCTTAAACTGCAAAATGAGAGCATTTTGAAAGTACAGGCAGATTTTTCATCTAATGCTTCTGTTCTTTTTCTTTTGTGTGTGTATTTTTATCCCTTTCACTCTCTGCAGTATATCTAGTATGAGATAACATAGCATAACTGTCACACTGAAGTACCGGTACTTCAGCTGCACCTGGCAAATTGGCTATTACAATTACATCTTCAGTTTTACAAAATCAAGTCAGATCTTACAGCATTAGCTCAAGAGTAGGAAATTGAAAAGAAAAAGCAATGTGATGCTTATCCTTTGACAGGAGAAAAGAAACAGGAATATGATTGTTCTGATCACGTTGACTCATGAGTTACATCTGGAGCTAATCAGAAAGATGAAAATACTGTTGGAAACAAGGAGCCAGTTTGGACAGCAAAAAATAGTGGGTTTTTTTTTCCTAGGTACGTGCAAATGGACCTACTTGCTTAAAAACTGACCATCTCAATTTCTATATCTGTACAACATGGTTTATTGCTCTGAGGTCAGGCACTAACTAGGCTTTCTCTGTCTTGCAATTGTATCATCCTCTTTTTTTTTCTGTAGAATCTGTCACTGGCTTGTTATGCTGTTGTATACTGTGCCTTGTTCACAGATTACTAATGTCCTCTGGTGTCCTACTTAGCTACTATTTCCAGAAGGCAGGATCTTTTGAAAATGCAAATTGAGTACCCTACATACCTTCAAGAGGGAAACAAACCCTTCTGGTTCTTGTTCTGTTCATCCTGTCTGTGTTTTCCAGAATACTTCTGTGAATTCAGGTTTTGTGAAATTTCAGGTAACTTGTTATTTTTAGCATAAGGCATATGCAATGCCTTAAAGAAGCCTGGAGTTTCTTCCTTTGTTTTTATTTGTTTTTCTCCTTGGTACTGTGTGTGTCTTCTGAACAGTTTGTCGTCATTAAAAATAAAATACGTAGAGAACCTCAAAACTGTAGTTTTATGGATGAGTACTCTAGGCCATGCATTTTAATTTGTCCTTTTTTAGAATAGAAGACACTGGTGGCTTAAAGTACAGTGCAAGGTCATTAATGGGGCTTTGCAAAATTAAGCCCTGTAAGATGTACTTGTATCATTATTTACATAATTTAGTAAACGTGCATAATCATTGCTTATGAGAAGTTGTGGGAGTTACCTAACGAAAGAAGCTGCATCTGAAAAAAGCTTCATGCTCTCTGTCTGAGGCTTCTTCCTGTAGCTCCCTAGAATAAATGTCTGCTTTCTAATCACTTTCTTAGAGTGCATCTTTTGCTCATTTTAATATTGTGATGCTTCTTGACTGTCTATGTATCATGTTTTGGAAGGTTTGTGAGTTTTTCAGAAGTTTTCAGTATATTTCTTGTAATGACTCAATATGCAGGATGAAGCTGTGCTGCTGACAGTGCATAAATGCTTGTATTGTGGTGCTTAGATACAGTGTTCAAGGGGTTGCATTTACACCCTTTCCCCTCACATTTCATAAAACAGCTGTAAGACTTGGTGGCCTTTTAAAATTGTGGTCCCCAAGATGAATTCAGGGCTATTTAGAGCAGGATGATTTTGACTTGCTTTAGAATATACCTGCAAAACCAACTTAAATAATTTAGAAAGCATTAATTTTTTTCAGTGTATCTATACCAATCCTGTTTTTTTGTCAAGGGAGGAAAAAAATGCTTGGCTTGTCTTCTGAACTTGAGCTCACTGTGACAATTCACTTGCAACTGTATGGTGTTTTTTCTGGGTGTAGTTTTCTTTTTTGTTTGGTTTGGTGTCCCCTCTCAAAAAAAGAAAAACTAGTGTTGGAACAGAGCACCTTGGGAATGAGTATTAAAATTTGCTTTGTTCTTTTCTCCCTTTAGTTTACAGAATGTTTATTCAAGCCTCGGTCTCTCCCTATAACTTGGTTTTGTTGATCTGGTTTGTTAACGTATCAAAAATGTCATTTTCTCCTAATTGCAGGGATGGGTCTTCTGGCATAGGGCTTGTAACTGTCTGCTAACCCTCCTTTGATCTGAGAGTATTTGACCTGTATTAAAGTTAAGTTTGTAATACATTGTAGAGCTTTCCTTTAGGAATCAAAGGAAGTTTCTTTTTAGCTGTAAAAAGAAAAAAAAAATCTCCATAAGGGACCCTAAGTGGTTGTTTTCAGATTAATTTTTTTTAATTTAAATGTCTTAGTTCAAGATGCTGTGTTCTTTCCTGTTAAATCAGCATGTTCTAATTCTTGCCTCTGCTTACCTGAAACTGTTGATCCAGCCCTAATTCCTGAAGCAGTGAGGGTGAGGTTTTGACCGCCAATGCATGTAACTAAGGGCTCATGCAGGCTTCTAAAATCAGTGGATTGAAGGACTGTGTCTTAAACTTTTATATGTCTAATTAAGCATCATTAATCATTTGAGATTATAGGGATATGAACAAATAGGTGATTTACTTCTACCAACTACTAGATTTAAGTTCTAGACTATAAATAAAAAGACTGAAAAAAGATGCCCAATATTTTTTTTTTTCCCCCATAGAACTTCATTTGTTAAATCAACTATTCTGTTCAGTGGCTAAATGAAAGTATTCACACAAGCTGGAGTTTGAAACAGTTTATAAAGTCGAAGACATGTTTTATAAACCAGCTCATGTGGACTTTGACTTTAAAATTGTGGTGTTTTTTTTTTTTAAACAACTGAAAAGTATGCTAGTTGTTGCCTTTAACAGAAAAACATACCCTGCTGTGCTTGCTTCAGTGAACATATATGCAAAAGTTTGCATGATGTGAAATAATTGGATAAAGTAGGACAGAAAGCTAAAAAGGAAATTAGCAGCGGGTGGTGCTCTGTTTTGATGATCCTTTTGTCAGTCTCAGTTCCAGCATTCCTTATGGGATTGGTTGGAGTGATATGAAAGAGTTCATGTGCATGATGGGTACCAACAATTTTGGACATCAGATTATTTAAGGCTTAATCTGCTGCTTAATGTGCTCTGTGGAGGCGGTGGGGAGGAGCGTAAGGTGATGCTCTGTAGTGGGGTGTTTTTTCTGTCTTGTGTCTGATGGGGTTTGTTTTGGGCTTTTATTTGCCAAAGCAATAGAAAACATGATCTCTCAAAATAATACAGAGAATATAGAGGATCAGACATTAAGTCTTCAGATACAGAGGAGTGCTAGATTGTGTCAGAATACCACGTAAAAATCTGACAATGCAAGTATTGAGCCCCATAGTTTCTTTTTGGCCAGTTTCTTCAAGTCGTCAGCTTTATGTACTAAATTTAATATTTTTTAATATAACTTGTTTATGTTCTGTAATTTGGCATTTAAAGGGACACTTTCAGGTCCTCTCAGACTTGCTTTAATGATGATGTATGTAGAATCACATACATCTCAAACTCCATCTTTTTTCACACAAGCACTTGCGGTAGCTTGACAGTGAATGCAAAAGTGGCTTCCACAATGCCACTGAAATGTGTTGGATATATTTGAATAGCTGACTTCAGGTCTAGTATGACCATTACCGTTGTGGAGTCTGTAAATGTGTCTCTGTAGATTTCTCACTTCCCTGCTCTGAGAAGAATGGCAAAACTAGATACAGCATGTGAACTCTTTCAGGAGTACCATGTGAATCTAGTAATGTGCTTTTAGGTGCAGATTACATCAGTCAGTTACATTTTCTAGTCAAGACTATGTTTCAGATTCTATTTCGTCTTTGTCCTTGCTGTATGCCTCTGTCCCTCGCCTGTCAGCTGGCACTGAGTACTAGCTGCCCGACACAGTACTAAATTTCATGTTGATGTTATCTGTTGTTGGTTTGTTGGGTTTTTTCAGCTAGTTCTTCTCTAAAGCTGATTGTTTCTTACTACTTTTAGTATTCCAGGCATTTCTGTTTCAATTTTATGCTTTAATATTATGGACTGGCCTTCTTTCAGAACGTCAGTCAGAGTTGCCAACACAAAGCAAGGCCAGCTTCCCCAGCATTCTCAGCGATCCTGACCCAGATTCTTCCAACTCTGGTTTTGACAGCTCCGTTGCCTCCCAGATCACGGAAGCCTTAGTGAGTGGACCAAAACCTCCTATAGAAAGTATGTGCATTTTCACACCTTTGTTTCTGTGACTCATGACATGCTATATTAATGAATATACTTCTCCAGATGAAATATAATGTAATTCAGAAGTATTTTCAAGGTATGAAGTGGGAATGAAGATGAATGGAACAGTACAAAACTGTGTCAGGCTGTCTCCAGATCAGACTCCATAGTGTTCATGTTTCCAGACTTTTAAAAATCTGGAACCTGTCCTCAACATGTTACCCATGTCATCTGTTGGCTAAAACACTGGGTTTGATGTCCCTCAGATCTTAGTCCCCTGCACTAAAATCTGCATTGACTGTAACACCTTAAGGAAGCAGTTACTGTGGAAGGAAAAAAGACCGCAGAATCAGTAACTTAGTGATATGAATCAAGATGAAAAACAGGCTGATGTAACAGCACTACTAAAAATCATAAATAAATGTTTGTCTAGAAGGCAAATAAGATTGTAATACCATTCTCAGTGTTACAATAGCTTAAAGAAATTAGGGCTTTGGGGTTTTTCTTTTTGTACTGCTGTAAAACTGTATTACCAGAAGCTTAAAAACCGTTTCACATTTGTTGCCTTTTTAGGTCACTTCAGACCAGAGTTTATTCGACCACCGCCTCCACTCCATATATGTGAGGATGAATTAGCATGGTTAAATCCAATAGAGCCAGATCACACAATTCAGTGGGATAAGTCAATGTGTGTTAAGAACAGCACTGGAGTTGAGATAAAAAGAATCATGGCAAAAGCTTTTAAAAGTCCTTTGACTTCCCCACAGCAAACACAGGTAAGTATCATGTACTTTTCTGTCTAAAATGATTTTCTAAGAAGCTAATAACTCACATATTTAAGAAAACTTGGATCACTTTAATTGATCTGTGTTTGGATTCACGAAACATCAAGTAAATTTTTAAAAATTTTTTAATTAAATTATAAAAGCCCAAGAGTTTTGACTTGGGCTTGTATGATTAAGGAAGAAATCTTTAAACTTCATAGCATTGACTGGACATAGTTAACAATTGATCAATAAGTGGCACCTATATTTTTCTGCATGGAAAAATCTTCATATAACAAAGTTGTTTGTGCTTTTGTGGAAGCTTTTGAGAAGTAATTTTTTCAGAAATGCTAACGTCGGAATTTTTTTCCTCAATGTGACAGTATTACTCCGGATTTCAGTGGGCCTTTTTGATAATCATTATGCTAGCACTATAAAATTTACTTTATTTGCAGAACCTTTTCTGACAACAGTGAACTCAAAATTGAGGTTTCTTTCTGCTGGACAGGAAACTAAAGCAGGCTGAAACTTCTCACGGTTTTTTCCTCCCTTCCTTGCCACTCACTGATGAAAGACCACTAATTATCTTATTAAAGGTTTTATGGGCATAGTTGCCTTTACACAGAAATTTTGAAGTATACCTCCAGTGTCTTGCAATAGGGATGCCTAAATCCAAAGGGCTACCATTCTCCTGTAGCTTAGATGTATTATAGCAGTTTCTTCAAGCAGTAATGTGAATAGTTAAGAAAAAAAACAACTGAGTCTCTTTCTTTTTTCTTCACAGCTCCTTGGAGAACTGGAAAAGGACCCCAAGCTTGTTTACCATATTGGTCTCACTCCTGCCAAATTGCCAGACCTGGTTGAAAACAATCCTTTAGTAGCTATAGAAATGTTGCTGAAACTCATGCAATCTAGTCAGATAACAGAGTATTTTTCTGTCTTGGTCAACATGGACATGTCCTTGCATTCAATGGAAGTCGTAAATAGGTGGGTACTATCTCAAATCTAAGGAGTTTTCCTTAAGTATGTAAAATAAATAACTGAACAGTTTTTAAGTGATTGTGATGCTAGCCATAGGGCTGTATTTGGAAGCATTCCAAAGACTACTAAAAGTGACAAGAATTGAAGAAATGACTGGTCAGATTACAGTGAAGGAAGAGAGTATCAAAATACCATTCCCTTTTCTTGATGCTGTTTGTGTGGCTTTGGTTTTTTAATACTCTCTTCTTATTTAGACTTAAATTCAGTGTACTCTGATTAATCCTGCAGAAGAAGAGAGCACACGATGGATTTGTAGTTTGCTCTGACTATTGAACTGTCTGTTTCTCTCAAAGACTTTACTTGCTTTTCATGTAGTCCCTTATTAGTGGTGCCTGTAGTTAAAGAAAAAACTCTTATTTTAGTCCAGATTAAATTTGTAAAGTTAGGTGTAGGTTGGTAATAAAGAACTGAACCTCTCAAACATCTTCAATGCTAAGTTCAGAGAAAGCTGCCAATTTTTAAGTTCCTCTTTACAGCAGTACTATTTTAAAATAGTACGGTAGTGTTAACAGCTTCCTATTATCAGCAGCAAAACTGCTTAACAGGGGAAAAAAAAAAAACAAACCACAATGTCCTGACAGAAAAATGTGATGGTGGAGACATATATATCACTTTATTATTTTATAGACTAATTAAATATTTTCTATTTTAATTAAAATTAATATAATTT